ACGAAAAATCTCAGAAATTATGCTCAAGATTATGCCAATCTCATTTGCAATCAAGCAACATTTTCATATTCTATAAATTAAGTAGTAGATTTTGATTTTTCAACTTTGTAGAGTATAATTTGCCGCTACTAATATATAACTTGCATCTAGGTATTATTGAGAAAATTAATATTTTGTTTCTCATAGCTTTTACTTATTTGTAACTCTATTCATAAACTTTGACACAATACAACTCAATTAATATAGTTTTAACTCGATTAGAAGTCATTTGTTAAATTTTAACTTAATATAACTTAGTTTTTATAGTTTTTTTAACTATTTAAAATATTGATTCTTATATTTTTAAAAATGACATTGCATGTCTCATGAAGTTTAAGGACTAAAGTTTTAATAACTAAAATTATAGGGACCAAATTGTAGTGAGTTAAAGTTTATAAACTAAGTTGTGATGGAGTTTAAACCGTGAGAGACTAAGGACTAGGTTGGAATGGCTTAAGAACAATTTTTCAATCATAATTTACGAAATACGAGATAAATATCTGAGAAGAATTTTTTCTTAATTTATGTGGAACGTGCTTATAAACACTTAAATAAGCATATCCAAACAAGGGTTGGGTTATACCAAGTGAAAATTCAGAGACTGTTATCAAACAATTAAAACTATAGGAATCAAAAGATTAATTTTTTCAATACTATTTTATCACCTAATTACTACTATCAAATTTTGAAATAACATAAGATTACAAGTATGATCAAACTCATAATTTTCTAAGAAGAATAAGTCACATAATTATTATTCGTCTTTTTGCGCTATCAGATGGCTTGTATATGAAGCAAAGCAACACAATCTCAAGAGGCAATCACACAAATCAATCAACATTCAAGTACAAGTAGTAGTTCCGGTCAAAAAAAAAAAGTACAAGTAGTAGTCTCTCTCTCTCTCTCATTTATATTTTTACTCATTCATTTCTTTTAAAATTCAGCCAGTCCCCAAAGTTCCTTTCGGCTGTATTTTTCTATGGTTTTAGCATATTGTTATTTCATTTGTAACCCACGCAAACGTTCTTAAGGGAAAATGCCATTTTGAGATCCAATATCCTAAACTTTTGCTATCATTTTAGGGACTACTTAAAAAGTTTAAATTAAAAGTCTCAATTGGAAAACACGGAAGTTAAAAATGATAAATAGCCTCAATTCCCATTAAAGCAATATTTTCATATTTATTGTTTTGGTATTTTCCAAAACCCGTATACACAAAATTAACGTTATTATGTGCATAGAAATCTAGTTAAAAATAAAACAAAATCTAGTCATTACGACGTATTGCCGGGAAAACGTCGCAAGAGACGTGAAAGAAACGAAAATATTTTCATATTTATTCATCCTTTTTGAAAAAGTGTGGCCATTTATGGTTTTCTAGGAAGCATCGTTGCACCTTCATTCTCTGTCCTTTTCTTCATCACTCTGTCCCCTTCCTTCCTCCTTTACACATTTCTCAGAATTTGCACGCAACTTCCAAATCTTCCCATCTCTCAATTTCTAGCATTTTGCAACCACTTATTTTTTTTAAAAAAGAATTTATTTAGATTATTTTTTTGGCCAAATATTAAATTTCAACCCCTTAGTATATTATTTAAAATAATGATTCTATTATTTACTTTCAAAATAATCTGTCCTCGTCACTATAGTGAAATTACCACCATTCAAACTATGATTTAAATTAAATTTAGATAATCCAAAATTAATAATAAATTTTTTTAGAATGATTAATTATAAGATTATCTTTATTTGAAATTATTTATTTATTGAGATAAAAATTAATTTAAAATATAAAAAATATTTAAATTGAATTTAGACCATTGAAAATCAATTTGGCTGATTGGATTAAGATAAGCACTCAATACTTATTATTTTAATGAGCATAGAATGTGCTCTCCAAAATAATTATTGCTATATATTTTTAATTTTTTTATAGTTTTAATTAAGTATCAATCATTTTTCTAATATTTTATTCTTTAATAATAATGACGATGATGACGATGATGATGACGGTAGATGAGATGAAGCTTAATAACTGCTACAATACTTAAAATTTTAAGGTAGAGGTATTTTTAGATAAATGTTATTAGATTTGTTGGCCAAAATTGTTATTAAATTTAGAGTAATATATACCGATATTCCCTATAGTTTATATTAATTGCATATATTTTCCTTCTGTTTTTACAATACATATGAATCTGATCTCACCTAAAATCAGTAGTTATATAATTCAAATCTCCTTTCTACTCTTTAAGATTCTATTTTCATTCCACTCTTCGTAGATAGTAGTGTCTAAAACTCATTTATGTTAAAAAGTTTTCACGTACGTAAAAAACTAAATAAATAGGGAGTTAATATAACAAAGAAATTTTTTACAAAAATCTTATTACCTTTAATAAAATTTTTTTTAAAGAACTACTAAATATAAGACATATTTTATAATATAATTTATACTACAAAATAAATATTTAGAACGGGAGAAGTACTTAATTATTTTTTAATATAATATAACCAGATTGTGTGAGTAAATTGATTATTTTAAATGTTGATATTTCTCAACAGATGGAACTATTCCTTGTTATCAGCAAAAGGATTATATTAAACTAATGTACGGTCAACGAGATTTGAATGGATTAGTAATAAATCCGACATTTCTTAATCAGACAATAATGTAAGACAATTGTATAATTCTGTGCAAACGTATGAGAAGCATAGTATGAATTTTCTCCATGTTGCTTTGTTTATGGGAGAAAATTTTTTGATATAATATAATTCATTTGCTAATGACATTATATTAATAAACCGATGAAATTACAAATTGAAGAATCAGACAAAAAATTAAATGATTTACTAATGCAAATCCACTCATAAAATATCCGCAAATTCGCAGCCAACATCATAATGCTTATTTGCATGCAAAATGTTCATGAAAATTCTAAAAATAAAAAAAGTAAAAATGTCACTACTATTAATTTAGGCAAACATCTATTGCCTTTTAATTGGTGGTCCCCTATTTGTTTATGTTCTGAAATTTAATACTACCTCTTAATATTTAATATGGAATTAGTTGGAGATTCAATTTGATCATAAATATAAGACTTTAGTTTATTTTATCTCTTATATTTACTTATTTTACTCCAAGTAATCTTTGTGAATTGTACATATTAAGGAGTTTTCATAAAAACGTAATTTCAATATACATGATTAATAGACATTTTAGAAAAAATATTTATTTATTACAAATAACTATTTTAAATAATTTTTTAATTTTTACAAATTAGTTATCTAATTTTCATATTACAAACCTAAATAGTACACATTTACTTAAATTAATGAACATGATATTTTTGTAATTTTTAAATCTTTATAAATTTTTGCATCTAAGTGAACATTATATTATCAGGTGCTATATGAGCAAATTTACGTATTAACCCAAATTTAAATTTACAGTGGCATACTAATTTGTTTTGAGTTAGGTTATAGATTCCAGTAAAAATGAAAATTTGCTTGAAAAAATAAATTAAATTAAAGTTGGCAAAAAATTAAATTAAAAAGAATAAAATACTTAATTATCCAGACCACAATCACAGATGAGATGTGGGCCAGAGTTAAGAAGTACAAGGACAATAATGGGCGTGAGAAAGCACGTGATCATCATAAAATCTCCCACGTGTACTCAGTTAAAATGAATCAATATTTCTGAATTTTTTTATTTAATTAATTTGCAAAAAATTACGAAATTTTAAATAATTTTTTTTATAAAAATGTATTGACATTTACAAATTCAGTGTTATAAAACTTAATTTGATATATAATAATTCTAAACCTTTTTTATGGTATTCTCCCATTTTATTACCTAAAGTTTATTTAATTTTATTTTATTAGAAATTATTTTTTAAAAAAGGTTCACTTCAATTTATTTGAAACCAATTAAATTAACTCCAAACTTGAGATATTTAAAAATAAAAAATAAGAAATATTAGGATTAAAAATGAAATTACTACCTCCGATTGTAATTATAAGACCTCATTTATAGATTACAAACAAAATCTTATAATTAGGATCGAAGGTAGTAATACATTTTCAACAAGAGTATGCTGTTTAACTTTTTAAAAACTATTATTGTTAAATATTAGAATATTTATACATTTGCATGAAATTTGAAAATAACTAAAAGCCATCTTAATTTTAATTTCACAAAAAATATCATAATTAGTAACATGCATTTAAAATTTTCTACTCATAATTTTTAATACTTAATATAAGAGTTAGTTAGAAATTTAATTTGATACTAAATATAAAATCACAATTTATTTTGTCTATGAATTATACATGTTAAATAGTTTTTCTTAAGAGATAGTATTACTCGGTGTGGTTAATAAGGTTATTTTAAAAAAAATAATATCTATTTATTATAAATAACTATCTTAATTAATTTTTTAATATTCACAAATTAATTATTTAGTTAGGAAAATTTTAAAAAAATACCTCTTGAATTTCAAAATCTCAAATTAGAAATTACTATAAAAATATATTGTCATTTGTTTTTTGGGTTTAGTCAATTGTTATTAAAGTGTAGTAAAAAGACTGGTTTGAAATTTTGAAATTTAAGAAATACTCTTCTGGTTTTTAATGTAAAATCTAATTAATTAATTTAAATAAATCAATAATATTAGTTGAATTAATACTCTAAACATATTTCTTAATTTTTTTAATTTTTTACTTGAATATTATTTAAAAAATAAATAAAATTAATTTTGAAAAAAACTTAATAAACTTATAAAATAGATTTTATAAATAGAGTAATATAAACTCCTTTGCTTGGTTGGACGTTAAGGAGAGGAGTGATTTTCCTATTTGGTATTTTGGTTGTTATCTCAAGGCTGGGTGGCTCTTTGGTAAATTCGGAGAAGCAAGAGGGTAATATTTAAGGATAATCTTTTCTTCTTTTTCTGCAGTGAATGATTCTCCTCTTGCTTATGCCACAGACATAGCATTTGCGTTTGTTCGCAGACATTTTCTTCAGGCTCTCATGGATTCTCGTGAACCTCCCTTCTTATACCTCAATCCTAGTTAGGCATTGAGATAGGGTTAGGGTTTCGGTTTCCATTCTCCATAGCTCTTACCGAAAGAAAACTTCGCGACAAAAAACTGTCCTTATATGATTCTTTCATTTCGACCTCGCAATCAGACCCAGTTCTTGATTCTCATCTTTCTTTGTGCAACTTTCCTCCCAGACGTATCGTCTTTGATTGCGATATTAATCTTATTGCAAGCTTGTTCTGTTTTCCCCGCAAGAACTATTCACAACGATTCCCAAGTTATGAAGGTTCATCCCGTGCCCAGAAAACGTAACATCACCCTTCAATACGACATGACTGCAAGAAACCCTCTTTCTGAAGCTCAGGCACTTCTGGGTTTCACGAATAAGAAGCTACGGAGGCTCCCCCATGTCTTTAGTCGCGTCCTGGAGCTTCCCTTTCGTTCCGATGCCGATGTGGCAGTCGAAGAAAGCCCGGACTTTTTCCGATTCGTGGCTGAAACCAGCGGAATCGGCGACGTGCAAGCTCATATGGTGGAAATCCATCCTGGGGTCACCAAGGTTGTGGTGAGGGATAGTGGGTCTTTGGAGTTATCGTTGGATGAACTGGAGCTTGACATGTGGAGGTTTCGGCTGCCGGAATCAACACGGCCAGAACTCGCCAGCGCAGTTTTTGTAGACGGAGAGCTCATTGTGACTGTGCCAAAGAGTGAAGAATTGGAGAATTCTGAAGATGAAAATGGAGGGATGTGGAGTGATGGTAATGGGAATTTCGGAGGAAGACTTGTGCTTGTACAGTAATATTCTTTTGTCACCTTGTTCCCGTTCAATGTTCCTTTAGTATGCGAGTTAGTTTCAGGTTGTTATTGGAACTAGCGACTGTATTTTCTTGTTCCGTTTGAAGCAAAACATGTTCCTTTCCCATTGCAATGATTTTATATCCGGCCAATGGCAATTTTATGAATTCGTCAACAGATGCATAATGCATTCCCTTTACTCATTCTACTTGTCTTTGAAGAATGTACTCCTTGATTATTAGCAACTTTACTTCCTGGCGAACATAGGGAATTGCTCTTCAATTCTGAGTTTGAGGATTGCTTGTTGGGTTTGGCTTGTACAGTTATTTTGCGTTTGATTGAGCTGCACTTCACGGCATGATCCCTAAGAATAAAAGGATAAGGTAGATGACAGGGAAGGAAAGCGAGGTTATTAACTTGTCTGTTTCTTTTCAGGGTTTTCCAGTTGAGTTTGCTCATTTTCCTTTTAGGCCATATGGTTAGTTTTGTTGGAAAGCTCTGATCCAGGTCTTCCTAATCTAAATATCACCACCTCCTTATTTTCTGCTCATTTGAGTTCCAATCATTGGCCAACTGCTGCATCATTTGAGTATGTAGAAAGTGAAACTTCATTTTCCCCTTTACACTTGTTGGCGCTCAATCAGTTGCATTTCTTTTTCCTTTTGGTTACAAATGGGGCCTAAACATTAGGTGTGCCCGAGGGGGAAAGCTGGAATGCGTAGCACCCTCAACAACAGGTCCTCAATCTTGAGGACTGATTCCGTCACCTCATCGGCTAATCAGTTTCATTTCTTGTTTCTCTCCTCGCTGCAGAAACTGTCTTTTGGTAACTAGGAACTTATTCTCATGTTGTAACACTGAGACCACCCCTTGGATGTAACGTTTGCTGTTCTTTTAATGAGATTTGAAGGGTTGCAGCTGAAGATTGGATTCCATCCCATAATCTGCATTTCTTTCAGTTTCATCTTTAGTTTCAAAATTTTGTCATTCTTTTGGTCATAATCATTTGTGCAATTTCAAGCAAAGTTAAGAGACACACAGTATGTACACTTCCAGGTGGGCAGCACCATTAGGAACTGCTATGTTACCCTCACTTGCATTTTACAACTCCTGAGGATAAGATCACAGGGTAGTCAATCTCTAGTACTGTGTTGTGTTTCAAGACACCTAACAAGCATGCACGTGGCGGTTCCTTAATCAAGATGTGTTGTGTTTCAAGACATCCCGTGATAGGTTGTTCTTGAACATAGGACGCATCTAGAAATTGAATGCAGTAGAACCGTAAATCTCTGTTGGTTCACTCTGTTGGAAGGCATATTCTTTGCATCAAGTTTGGGACATTTTTCTCAGAAGAATACGGCAAACAGAAAGCATCATGCTGAAGCTTGTCTTGTCCCCCCCCCCCCCCCCCAAAAAAAAAAACCACAAAAAAAAAAAAAGAAACACACACATACACACACACAAAATCCTTGTTTTAAAGTTTTTATACCCACCCGCCCGGGGGGGGGGGGGAGTGGCGCATGAACTGGGTAAATAGGACGAGAATCGCAAATTACATAAAATGTTCATTCATTTTAGTTTTTTTGAAGGTAGGACTCTACATGGAATCACTCTTTTACTATTGGGCAGAATGACAACACGTTAAATGTTTAAGAGGGTGTTTGGAAGCACTGAAAAGTGTTTCTTAGAAGTATTTTTCTACAAAACAAGATAAATTCCTTTACATATTTACTTCTTATACTGCAAAAACATTTTTAAAATTATAATTTTGATTTTATTCACACAACACTTTGATATTCCCCCGGATGGTGTCTTTTATTGATTGTGCGTGGGTAGCAGAAGAAAACTAAACAAAAAAGTTTGCGGACCGTGGTAACCAATTACCAATGTTTTAAAAGCAGGACTATGCAGATAAACCCGAAAAATTACTTGGTCATGGTTTTTATAGTCCTATGATTCGACCACCGGTCCAACTAATGACAAAATAATTAAATAAGAATATAAAGATTCAAATAAACTAATGAAAGCTGCTGGTAAGAAAGAAAAAAACAACTGAAAGCAAAAGTTTAAAATTCGATATGAATAAAAATAAAAAAGTGAAAGTATATTTAAAAACTTGAAATGACAAATACTTTCATAAATGTCTTGAAATAGGATATACTAATACCATTTGTGCATAACTTATATTTATATTATATACTTCTATTTGTTAACTGTTATTTTATTTTTGTAATCAGGATTGGGCTTAGAAAAGAGAAAGGTCTAGACTAAAATTTCCGCTACCTTTGATCAATTTGTACATCAAGCGAACCTTTATGCCAAAGACATCTAAAATAACGGTAATGAAAATTTTGAGGAGCAACTGCAGATACATTTACAATCTTAATGTGTATTTCCTATGCCAAAGTGTTCCCTTAATATATCCTGGTCTATACTGCCAAAGCCATCGGCTACCTTTTTCATGTCCTCAAGTTTCTGAGTTTCCAGTCTTATCTGTTCCTCTCTTTTTCTGATAGCATGATCAGATACGACCAAAGAAGAAGATGAGGATCTTGGACGCGCAAGCTCATACCTCTCACTTTCCAGTTGCTGGTACAAATTGTTCACATAATTCATCTGGGCATGAAGTCTTTCTTCTGCCAATTTATACTCATATTCTTGTGACTTTCGAAGATTCTGAAGAACTTGATCAATCTCCATCTCAAGTTTTATCGACCTGGTCGGACGAATATAGGATTCTGATCCTCTAACATTTGAAGGGCTCTCTTGTGGCTCTATATCCATTGCAGCATGGCCATTCTCTGCGAAGCCTGCTTATAGAAACAGAATCACAGTTTTACCTAAAATTAGAATATGGGTCTTGTACTTTACATAGAGTCCAAGATAAATCACAACATTAATAATTTATAAAAAGTGCAGCTTTCTATAGATTTTATATCATATATTCAATATATTGATAACTTGAAGCTAAAATAACATCAGAACTTTCATACGCATGCACCCAGTTACCGAATGGAAAGCAGTCTGAATATACTCAGATGAATAAGTGAGTCAGTGAGGATAGTTACCAGCAGGATAAGCGGCATGATTGCCCTTCTCCTTCCAGATATCTTCAACAAGTGCCCCACATTTAAGCTGCAAACAACAAAATTGGTCCTACTTCAGCCTTTATGAGGTAAGGAAAGGGCAGGCATGTACACACGCACGCAATAAAGTCATGTTAATACCTTCAAATTAGCCAATTCGATATGATTCAGCAGCTCCTTTGCAATAGCTTTATTTGAACCACGCAAGAGACAAGTGCCAACATTTAAAATTTTTTCGACGTCATCCCTAGAATCAATAGTTTTACAGATCTGTAGAAGTTTGTTAACATGAGGAATCAGATCAGTCCTCCCATCACAACGTCGGCAATAATACTCAGCATCCAATCCAATACTTCCACCAACTGTTCCAGCCATGCGACATCGAAGAGCGCATTCCAGATGTGAAATATGCCCACAGATATTATTGTCAACCTTTTCCTGACACTTGATGTAACTATAGCCCCTGTAAGCTGAATCAACAGTTCTGGAACAAAGAATGCAGCAACAATCACGGCAAAATCCAGGTTCAGCACAGCAAATATCACAAGGCATAGCTGGTAAACCATCTTCTGCTTTTTTCAGCTTCTGACTGTTGCACTTCTTATTGTTGACTTTACAACCACAAGAGTCAGACTTTAACTCAGATGCTGTATATGCATTATGTGAAATCTGTCGGAGAGGAACAGCAACTATAGGCTCTGAGCTTCCTGCAATGCAGAGCAACATTCTTAGTTATCTAGCTCTGAAATTGCACAAGAAACTAAGATCAGCATAACACCACATACAGCAACAAGAACAAAGTCTTATTTCACTAGGTAGGGTCGATTACATAGATCACATAATGCCATTGAGCTCTATCAAAGACCAAATCAACATAACACCACATCCCCTGTGCCTTGGGGGGGGGGGGGGCTGCATAACCAACATCAAACTTTGGAGAAGAGCCCTCAAGATATATTAGGAAAGTATCATAACAAGGATGAAATTACCGAGAATATGAAAAAATGTGAAGAATTCTTAACATAATAAACATGTCCCTCTTCAATGGGCAAGATTCCTTGCAAAGACAAGTCCATCACAACACATAGTTACAGAAGATTATTCAACTCGATTTCATCCAGCTAACATGCAATAAATGATAAATTGAAAATCTGATAGCATGGTGATGCAGACTGAGCAAATGGGAAAATGGAAAAACATAAACTTCAAAATTAGGGGGGAGGGATGGGCAGCATTCAAAAGGTGTGCGTCTATGTACATACACATGAAAAATTGTAACTGACCTTTCGTTGGTGTAGATGGTATGGATGGAATCTTCCAGCTAAACGAAGCAAAGAATGCATCAATATCAGTTTCTGGAAAATTTGATTTGATGTAGCGTTCAACTGAAAGCTTGCTAGAAAAGCAAACCCTACTTTTGCGACTTGAGCCTGGGTTCTCAGAACGAGAAAGACGCATAGGAAGATACAGGTACCTATCCAAGAAATGCCCATTCTGAGCAACTCTCTTACCAGTTCTCCAACCCCAAAAATCACCAGGTTCAGGCCAATTCTCAGGTGCATAAGGTAAACCTTCACCAGATGTTTCCGCTGCCATAGGTATCAAGGCCAGCGGATTCATTCCTGTTGCTTTACCATTGTTCTCAGCATCTGTCTCCATCAACTGAAGCAAATGCTAGATTTACTGATTCCAACGAAGGATCAAATTCAACTGCAATATTTTGTAAGACCAAATTCAAATTCATGCACAACAGATAAAATTCACGTTTCACAAGAAAGTTTTCAGTTTACCGGACATAAAATGAGATGAATTAGTCTTGAGAAGAGGAAACACATTGCGGATGAATGAAGAGAAATGTAGATCAATGGAAGTCCTTAATAAGCAGCACTGTCAAACAGGCCATACATATCCGCTCTTGCACGTTAGTGGGCTAAATAGACTAGTCTGCAGTTCAATGAATTTGCATAAATTTTAAATATTTATTAAAAAAATAAATTTCAACGAATTTTTACTTATTACAAATGATCAAGAGTATGAAAATGGAAATTTAGCTATCTTGAGGATTTTCAACCCCAGAAATTTCAAATAGAGAAAGCATTAATCCAGGATAAGGATTAATATATAGCCTTCCTTCAACGCTAACCACTGGTCCTAATTGATTCCTATTGTCATCTCCATAAGATAGATTTGAAATGCCATGTTCTTACACCAAATGCAATTATTTAACATAATTCTCGTCTCGAACTTTCATCTTCATCAGTACTAATCATAATTGTCAAATCACAATTCGAAACATGAAGCAGGAGGCTTATTCTTTAAGTGGGAATCATAAATTGCGTTAAATTTTATGAGTTAAAGACATGTTGAAGAATAAATCGAAATATGCTCTATAAGTGATGTATATATGTCTACAACATTAAAAAATGCTCAATATATTAAATTGGAACCAAGAGTTGTCCTCCTCTCCCCCCCCCCCCCCCAAAAAAAAAAGAAAGAAAGAAAGAAAAAAGTAACAACCATAAATCTCACAAAACCACAACTAATAATTCGCAGGGCATGTTCGAAGGCTTAAGAGGTCAGAAGCTAATTATCCTCCGATTCATCAAGACAAATGTCATTATTATCTCTGCCATTGATATCATCGTCTATCATCCTTAGATTCAACCCATGATTTGTACATTGGCGAATAGTGAGTTGAACGAATAAACGAGGAGAAGAATAGATTAACACGATATTTATGATTTTTCTGCGCTAATATCTTAATTATGTCCATCCAACACAGAATACAGACCACAAGGCAAGTTAGGGATCTTTTAACGTTGCATAAAGACCTTCATACCTAAACTCCATACTTCTCATGGATATTCGCCCTCGTTGTTGATAATTTGAGTAAATATATATCTCTCTGTTTCCTACTTTTGGAGCAACAATATCTGAATTCTTGATCTTTTTAAAACTAAACCAATCAGACATGCATCAATTCGGCCATGCCCAAGAGAGAAACCCAAAAAGAGATTTACTTACCGGGGATGGACTAGACTACAGGGGCTGGTGGTTGCGGTGGTGGTGGAATCCTGAGCTCCGCCGTTATTAGCTGTGACCAGACAGTGGTTGGAGGAGTTGACAGCTGAAGACGACGCTCCTTCTCACGCTACTGCCGCAGCTTGAACACTCCTCTCTCGGCCTCTTGGCCTTCCAGGGACGCAGCCTTGCCTTTTTGTCTGGTTTTATTTGTTAGGCCATGAAACCAGTCATACCTGTAACAGCCCGCCCAAAATCAACCAGGCAAGCTATGTTCAAGCTTAATTCTAAATCCATCAAAAAGTCTTTCAAGAAAAAAAAATCCATAAAAATAAAATCCTAGCCCACATTTTGAGTTAAATGGGCCGATTCGATCGACTCATAAGATTTGGATCGTCTTTCATCTCGAAATCTCTCATATATCTTATAATTGTCAGATAATCTAATGAGTCATATATTAAATTAAATGGGTCAACTCATTAAATACGAATCTTTCATGTTAATATACATTATGCATCTTTGCTTAATTTTGAATCATCAGATTAATCTTATAATTATTACCTAGTTCGTTTAATTTTCATCCTTTAATTTTGCTTCATTTTCTTTCCATCATTATAATGTTTTTAAGAAGCTTGGATATTTGGATCTTAATATAATTTAGGGTAAGGGTTTGATCTAACATTTTATCACACTATGTTGATGCTTCTATAATTGGGTGAGCTTAGGGCTTTTAGGGTTGTTATAGGGTTAATTATAAACTTGTTAGCTACTTGATCAATCATCATAATAGCCTTTAGGCATGATTCCTTGCCTTCTAAAACCCTAGGCTTTTGCCTTAGTAGTGGAATACATGCCTAGATACTCTATAAACTTTCTAAGCCAAGCTCCATTATATACAAGCTAGTGACATGGCACCATGTCATTTAAATGGTTACAATCCAGTGTGGTTTAGAATTAACTAAATTCTAAGTTTGGATCCTCCATAGTTTTGTTTTTTTTTTGGCTCATACAAGGGTAATGGTGTCATAATAATGCAAGGGGGAGAGTGACGCATGGAAGATAGGGCTCATTTAAGCTGTTGGAAGGGTTTTTATGGAATGGGAAAATTAAACAGAACAATTATATTCCTTTTGGTCCATAACATAATATTTTAATTATAAGATGTTGTTAGTGTAATTAATGTAATTTTTTTTACTTTTACCTCTATTAAATATAGAAGAAAGAAGAGAGAGATGAGAAATAATAAAGGTATAATGTTAAAGGTAACTTTATTATTTTCAAGAGCAAAATAGAAAAATTTTATAATTCTAAGACATATTTAATAACTAAACTTTCATTTCTTCATATGTGCGAAAAGCTAACTAACTTCTTATATCATGTACCAGATGGAGTAATAAGAAAATGAAAATGAAGGGAAAGGCATATATGATCAACAAGAGTTGGTCATGAAAATAAACCTAGAAGATGATTAAAATGAAAACAGTTCTAAATTTTTGTTTCTCTGTTCTAAAAATTAAAAGAAAAAGTTAGAAGCTTGCTTGGAGAATAAATAAAAAAAATTATACATTTTGCTTCACTATGTTTTTGGTTTTCCGTTCTTTTAAGCAATGTTTTAATGGGCCATGTCATTTGTTCATGGACATTTAAAATGAGTTGTTATGAGCATTACCCCAAAAAAAAAAAAAAAAAGAGAAGTTATGAACATTACAAAAATACATGACTTTTCAAGAATTCTTCTTAAAAATTCTAAACTTAAAATCGTGTGCCTGTAAAATACGAATAGCTAATTGAAAGTTTTTTAACGTGTTAATATAATCTTTGGTCCTTCAAATTTATTCTCATTTTAGTTTTGCTCTTTCGAATCTCAAATAATAGGGTTTGGTCTCTTTAGGAGCAAAATGATCCAAATTTTTATTAGTTTATAGGGACTAATGTTTTAAATGAAAAAAAAGTCGAAGAACCAAAATCTATGGTTTAAAATTTTAGAAATTAAAATCAAAATGAAGACAAATTTAAAGGATCAAAGTTTGTATTAATCTTTTTTTAATTTGATAATAAAAGTTGATCTAATTAATAATGAGTCGACTCATAACTTATAAGGTTATGGGTTCGAAATTCGAATACTATTATTAACGTGAGAACATTGTTGGTCAACAATTTGTAAGTATACCTGTAAGCACTTTTTGAACAGGAAGATATATCTTGCACTTGATGAGCCTCCAAACAGACTCATCTAACCTTTTCTTTACAAAAAAAAATTCCAAATGCTATATAATTTAAAAATATATAAATTTATTTTCTTATTATGACTTTTAAAATAAAATTTAAATTTTTGTGATCTGTAAATAAAAGTCATGGATAAAGTGATTGTGAGCTTGTAGCCAACAAGAACTTTTGTTTGCTTCATCAATCCTGATCCAAGTCTGTGGGACTGTGTGTGTTTTTCTTTTATTCTTTAAATTTTTAATACTGGAATCCGATCAAACCGACGGCGTTCTCAAGTCCCTTGGTGCCTCTGTAGGACAATTCACTCCCCACAAACGAAGGCAGAGAACGAACGGAAGAAATGGCAGCAGAAGGAGTGAGCCTCAACCATATTTCCAGAGAGACCTCTGACCTTCCCCGCCTCGCCAAGTTCTACCAGGAGGTGTCTCCTTTTCTACTTTTCTCCGATTTATTCCTCTGTTTTCCTTCACGAAACTTTCCAATATCAAACAACAATTTTCGTAATCCTATTTCGCATTCCTATTATCGTCGGCGGTTTCAAATTTTCGCATTATTAGGCTTGAAGACTGATAATCTTAATACAAATTCGTGTGGTGTTTTATTGTTCCCTTTTTTTAATTCTACAGTTGTTTGGATTCGAGGTGGTAGAAAACCCTCACTTCGGAGATTTCAAGGTGGTTTGGCTGCGTCATCCTTCGTCTTCTCTTTATCTCCATCTCATTGAGAGGAACCCTTCCACCAAGCTCCCTGAAGGTCCCTGGAGTGCCGTATCACCTATTGCTGACCCTAAGGATCTTCCTAGAGGCCACCATATCTGCTTCTCTGTCTCCAATTTTGATTCATTTCTTCATACTCTCAAGGTTTTCTTCTATATCATGTTGAATTTCATGCTTTGATTATTGTTTGTTGTTTATTTCCTGGTTGGTTTAAGTTTTTTTAAATACTTTTATGAATTATTTTACTTCCCCCCCCCCCTCCATCACTGATGATGTAATTTCTGGGTCTTTTTGGATGTTTCTTTTGGAGTGTACAAATGAGTGAGTGAATAACAAATAGGATTATGAGGGGAAACTAATCACTCAGTCGTTTTTAGATCTAAATAACTTTGGTCACCAAAAAATTAACAAGTCAATTACTGGTTAATTAGTTGCCACTTCCAATATCATTGTATCATTTTCCAAGAAGACTATTCCAACGAAGCAATTACCAGGATTACGGGTCAAACATTAATTTTGTAGTGTTTTTCGTCCATTACTTTTCTTTATTTAATGAAAATTTGATGTAGTTTCTTAACAGTGTGCATGAGATTCTTCGATAGACATGTGAATCCCTAACACTTTTTTAAGTTTGTTTCCATTATCATAATTCAATTGAGAGAACCTCGCAACAAAAACAACTAAAATTCTAGGTTTTAGCCGGAAGATTTTCAGTCTATGGTGGGAAATGGGAGGAGTGAGGAGAAGGAGATCAAGGGCATGCTTGAAATCACGTTGTAAACAACAATGCAAATGTCTCCTCAAACATGCGCTATTTAGTTATAATAAAACACAAACCAAACTTAGACTCTTCTGCCATCCTATGTAAACCATACTATGCATGTGAATGCCTGTTGACACAAAGAAGATCCGCTTTAATTTCATTCTGCTTTTCTCTGTTATAAATACCAAAAATGAATGATTTGTGGTTTACATGTGCAGGACAAGGGCATTGAAACCTTTCAGAAATCCCTACCTAATGGGAAGACAAAACAAGTCTTCTTTTTCGATCCAGATGGTAATTATTATTATTATTGTTCAAATTTTACTGCAACCTAATTTGGTTGACAACTTAACTAAAACTTTGCTAATTAATATAATCTCATTGTATGTCTTTGTTATTGAGATTTTGAGGAGCCCTAATTCAGACTTGAGGTTTACATTTTACTTGCAGGTAATGGTTTGGAGGTTGCAAGTAAGGAAGACTCTTAAAGAGATTGCCGTGGGTGAATCAATATACCGTGGAGTTATGTCATATGAAGATACCAAACTTCAGTTACAATAGAAGTTCCCCTGTATGTATGTTTCTGTGGTTACGTTGATCCACCATAGTCAGGGCTTGTAAAGAAGGATATGAGGATATGAGAATACTGTGTGTATTTATAAGGGAAGTATCATGATTTGAGGAGTTAGTAAAGAAGGATAGGATTGGATTATGGAAAATGAAGTTCATTACAATTTTAAATGTTGCACCTAATCCAGCTACAATAACAAAATCTGAATTTTCCCCCAATTTTTGTGACTGATTCATATTGTTTATGTATTTTTCACACATAAGCACTACCGTAGTTCTAGAATTAACGAGGCTACTTGTCCAAGTTTGAAAATTGTAAATCGGCTTCAAGCCTGCTTAGTGTTTAAAGGATTAGAAATTAGAAAAATGGATGGAGTACTAACAGAGGTTAGAGCAAGGAACTAATTGTCTATTGATTTGCTATAGAGGCTTTGTGGTTGTTAAACTGGTGAATGAAGAGAGTTTACGCACACTTATGGGATACTTGTTATTTAGAGATCAGAATTCAGAATAAGGTTATGTTTCTCAGAGAAAAAGGAAAAAAATAGTTTTTATTTTTTTGAAAAAAGTGAAATAAATTTCATGAACATCCAAGAGTCCATCCTAACTTTACAACTGCTTGTGATTTTCGGTTTTGGATTGACTAATGACTCTGTCTTCTGTGTCTGTTTTTCTGGGTTTTTTAGGCTTTTTTTTTTTAATGACTAAAATCTACTTACACCAATTGATAATCTTTTTTCCTCTTAATCACATGGGTTAAGGTATACATTTGGTTTTTTAACTTTGTATAATGTTTTAATTTTGTCTTTTAACTTTAAAAAATATACTTTTAGTTTTTTAACTCTAAATTTTTTTTTTAAAAAAGATGACGTTAAGATTTTAAATATTGATAAAATATTTTTAAATGTTAACATATTAAGTTTAATTTTCAAAAAATTCATGATTGTTATAAAATATTATTATTAAAGCCTAATGATTTTAGGATTAAAGGATTAAATGTATGCTTTTTAAAGTTAAGGAATCTAATTGAAATCTTATATAAAGTTAAATGATAAAATACTCCTCTAATCCTAAATGTAAGACCCTTATATACATTAGTATAGAAATCTTACATTTAGGAGCGGAAGAGTATATACTTTAGCCTAACCACATGTTAGTGTCTCAGTTTGAACCCAACTTTTTTTTTTTGGGGGGGGGGGGGAACAGACAACTCTTTTGCCATAATAAATCGTGATCCTTCGTACGCATATGTCCAGAACCCCAGCGACAATAATAACATAGCCATAGAGAAGAGTACTTTAGCAAACAGCAAATTTTACATAACGAATGGCAATAATAAGATAGCCATGAACAAGCTTTTTGTGATTCTCTGCACTGACAAGTTTTAGATTTTGGTGTTGCACATGAATCACGATAGCAACTATTGGATAACAATTTTAACTTTATAAATGAAAGTTTCAATATAATCAATAAAATCTTAATAAGGTTTCTTTTTTTTTTTCTCCTGTGAGTTTAATTAATATCATTATTGATAATATAAATCAGCCAAAAAAAACTAGTACTCCTCTTGTCCTAAATATAAAACTTGTTTTGGAGTATAATAAATATAATACTTATTTTGTAGTGTAAATTGCATTACAAAATTTAGACTACAAAATGAGTTTTATATTTAAAAGCAGAGGGAGTAATATAAATGAATAAATACCAATACTAATAATCAAATGATAAATTGATTATATCGTTTTGAATCTTGGTGGGAAAAAGTTTAAAAAACAAAAAGGATATGTTTGGTTTTGACTTTTAGTTTTAGATAGAAACCACACTATAATTTTAAAAGTATTTTTACGGTTTATGAAGTAAATATGTGGATAAGTTTGCTTTATTTTACAGAAAAAATTGATGATTGCCAAACACCTTTCCATTAAAAAAACTGAAAGTAGGAGTATATCTAATTAGGAGTATTTGTTAGGGATAATTTAGTATTTTTAATTTTTCTAAATAATTATAATTTTTCTGCTTTTAGACTCATGTTACAAAATGATTGTTATATTTATCACACGAGTAATTTTTATGATTCCTTTTAATAAATATCAGTGGCATGTCCTTTCTAATTTTTCCTATGTTTATTATGTATCCTTGGCGTCACAGAACGCTAAATGGATGACACCTGTAACAAAAGGCCTATTGCCACGTATGCATCTGCCCCTCATATATTTGCCACGTGTCATCTTTTGACTCTAGTCTACAGCTATTCAACACCGTTAAGGAATTCTGGCAATAAATAAACATTGTCATGAACTCTGGAGAAACGAAGCAGTCACCTTCGACCCACACAAAAGAACTCGCTCGGAACAATCGATCTCGCCCGTTACTATCTTCTGTCAGACTTGCCAACAAGTTTTGTTGAAGAAGATGAGCCATGAGGAGCCACGGCAAGGAGCCCAGGAACACGTGGTGGCCGGAGGAGAAGACAGAATACAACTAACCATAGGACAGGCTCTTGAAGCGACAGCCCATACAGTGGGTGACAAGCCGGTGGAGCAGAGCGATGCGGCAGCTATAGAAGCGGCGGAGATGAGGGCGACCGGAAGGAATGAGATAATACCAGGTGGGCTGGCGGCAGTGGCGCAGAAAGCGGCGGCTTACAACACGGGATGTGTAAGGGAGGAGGACGAGATCAAGATGAGTGACATTGTGTCAGGTGCAACGATAAAATTGCCGGCGGATAAAGAAGCAACACGGCAAGATGCCGTAGAAGTGGTGGCTGCTGAGGTGGGGAATAGCCCTAATGTGTCGACCACCCGGGGAGGCGTGGCGGCTTCTGTGGCTGCTGCCGTCAGACTCAACGAGAAGCCGGCAATAATCTAATGTTCCTCCTGTCTTAAATATAAAAAGGTCTTATATCTACGACCGGAGGAGTTACTGTTAACCAAATCTGTTAGCTCAAAGTCTTGTAGGGTCCACTAGCTCGTGTGAAAATGGCGCCCTTATGCATGGCTCTAATCAATCTCATTCAACTTTACTTTCGGATGAACTTGGTTCTTCACTTCTTTGTATGTTTCTGCTGGATTTGCGCATCTGGCTTGGAAGGATTTTTGTTGAGGAGGTCTTCTTCCTTCTTAGCTTTGGCAGAACATTCATATAGTTTGGGAACAGCAGGAATTACAATGTTGAGAGCAGCACGACAAAATCAGTATTGCAATTTATCAAATCATCTTATTTTTTTTCTAACTATATATGTATAGTCAATTTAATCCTGTTACTTCACTTTCAATAAATAATATGATTAATTTGAATCTCTATATATTTTTTATCCTATTAAACACACGCATACAACTATGTCAATATCAAATTTAAACACAAATATGTTAATCTTAAATTTGAGTCTGGGATTTCATTGAAAGATGATAGATATTGTGAGTAGGGTGACTAATTTGAATCTCGTTTGCAAATTAATGACAGGAGAACATTTCTCTGTAATAGTATTAACTAATTAATGTTTCAACCACAACGCTACAAATATATTACTTTTCGCTTCTTAATATAAAAGTTAGTGATTGAAAGGTAGATTTGGTCTTAATTATAATATCTTAGTATACTTTGTCTCTGATCTCTTTTGAAAATATTCATATTGATTGTAAAGAGTTCCACAAGAGTTCCCACTAAGGGACAATTATATTCCAACCATCCAATGCATACAGTAAGGAGGATAGTTTAAGAAAATAATACACATTTATGACAACTAACTAACTAAATTAAATTTTTTAATATCATCAAATTAGTTATCTACTCGTAAATCTTATATTAAAGATAAAAATTAATATATATCCAAAGAAAATCACACAAGGAAACAAAAGGAAAAGAGAAAGGAGAAGCAGACGCGGAAAAAAAGAAACAAAAATGCAAATATGTCAACGCAGACTCGACCCAGTCAATATGTTTATATATATACTCATCTGGTTATTAATATATGATCTAATTGTTGAGTTGATTTTAATTTTAAATGTAAGATTTATTTATCATATTTATCAAATTTTTTTAAATTATCCCTATTGATACCCCCTCACTCATAATCAAATAGGAAAGGGAAGGAGGGTATTAAAGAAGATAATTATGATGTTTTAATAAAAAAAACATGTCATATTTTTTTAATAATTAACTAACTTACATAATTTTCTTAATCTAATCAAATTAGTAAAATACATCTTATATTAAGGCATATATACTAATACACACATATACATATATATAGTACAAGTGATAACATGCAGGATAAAACCTAGCTATGACCTATAGTGTCCTCGAGGCCAAACACAATGCATTAGGTTACAAATTAAAGCCATTCCCTGTGTGTTAATAATGTCTATGAATGAGAAACTAGACTCAATATTAATCCATTAAGATTCAAATTTTGTTATGAAAATTAAAAAAGTAAATTTTATTAGATATTGAATCAATGATATATGATGGTGTAAATAATTTTAATAGTGTACTTCCCCCTCTGACATTAAAGTTTTAGTTTAGCTAGTATCTTAATTTTATAAATTACCTTTTTAGTTCTTTACCTTCAATAAGCTAGTCTTTTAATTTTATTATTAAAATATCTTCGGTTCTTTGACCTTGATAATGTTTTGCAAGTGATGATATTTTTTTTGCCAATCATCATTATTTTTAAGAAATTACGATAATTTTATTACCAAATATAACAATAATTAGAAATTAAATTTAATCTATAAGGCTTTTAGAATGTTTTATTAATATTTAAAATTTTAATGAAAATAATTTTGGGATAATCCTAATTAAATCCAGTTAAAACACTAAAATTCAAAAGTAGGTTTTCACTTTGTACAAATTCCTAATCAGGCAAATAGACCTAATTAGAGATTTATGAATGTTGTTTAAAGTCCAAAATGTCCCTCTGTAATTAAAATGAGTTGTTAGTTCTATATTTTTCTCCTCTACAGGTCGTTTTCCTAAAATTCGAAAGTTCTCAATCCATAGTAAATGACATGAAATTATAACACTGTTTGCAATTCACATTAATAATTACTCCAATGCGCTAATCAATCTGTAAAAGGTGCCGGTCTGAATAAGGGATCAAATGGTCCATAACCCTTAACGCAAGGGCTTTTCAAATAGTTTCCTATTTATTCATGACAATCGTATGCCTTTTCCTTTGACTATTTCAGAACAAATTAATTATACATTATGATCCTCCGTCTACACTATTTTACCAATTTTCCAAGTGTACATGTGTGTATATATTATTTAGTATATGGAGGATGGATCCATGTTAAAATTGAGCAAAAATCAGACCCATTGAAAATTAAAATCTAGCATTGACCAACACTGTTAGATTGATTAGTGTTGGAGTAATTATTAATATGAATCAATGATTGTATTGTAATTTCCTATTATTTACTAAAGATTTACTGTTTTTGTATTTCAAGAAAAGAATTTGTGAGGCAGACAAAGAATTCATGAGAGAAAAATATAAAGTCAACAAAAAAAAAGAAAAAAATCACTCAAAAAAATATAAAGGTAACAATTCATTTCAATTATAGAGGGGCATTTTCGACTTTCAAGAACATTTCTAAATTCCTAATTAGGCCTTTAATCCTTATCAGGAATTTGTTCAAAGTATAGGCTTGATTTTGAATTTTGGTATTTCAGTTGGATTTAAATAGGATTCTCCCAACAATTTTTCTGATGATACTAAATCTGTTGTCATCAGAAGAGTGGACTTAAAAAAAACAAAAAAAGTCCTAATTAAAAAAAAGAACTAACAAAAAACCTTAGATATAGACAATTTAAAGGAAAAAAAACTGTTTTTTTGGCCAAAAAAAGTATGTTTTTACCTAATAATCACGGTGTCATAAAATATACTACTAGCCTCATTTAAATCTTCCATAAATGAATATAAGGATTGGAAGTAAAGATAAAGAAATATTCAAGATTGATGGTGATCTTATTTCCGTTAACGCTGCTGCTTGAAAAAGTTCTTAGTTTTTTTTTTTTTAATTGCCAATAAAGTTCTTAGTTAAGTATGAAGAAAGGAATTTTTTTATTCTAAAACAAATTTTATTTAGAAGGATAAATATTACATAATGTAACAAAATTAACAAAAACATTTCATTCAGTGTTATTTTCCCGATCTGGAATTCTCCGGTGCCATTGGCAAGCAATACTCATGCTAACCGAATCCCTTGATCTGTCCACTTGGCATCATGCAAAGCAAAAGAGATGACACGTGTAACCATACGTGGCTATCACCGCTTGTCCACCTGACACCCAGATGTTTGCCACGTGTAATCCTTTTCCCATGTCCTCGCTATACACCCCACGATGTGCCATTTATAAATTATAACTCCCTGCAACGTAGTCACCTTCAACCCTCCACAAGCACATATACGAACTCGCTCTGGAATCGACCTCACCTGTTTAATATATCTATCAGATTTGTGAACAACTTTTGTTGAAGATGAGCCAAGAGCAGCCAAGGCGTCCCCAAGCTGAAGACCAGGATCCCATCAAGTACGGCGACGTTTTCAATGTCTCCGGCGACCTCGCCCAGAAGCCTGTTGCTCCGCAAGACGCCGCCATGATGCAGAGCGCTGAAACCCGCGTGTTCGGCCAGACACAGCCCGGAGGTGTCGCCGCCTCCATGCAATCCGCTGCTAGGCTAAATGAACAAGCTGGTCTTGTTGGTCACCGTGACGTCAACGACATCACCGGCGACCGTGGTGTCACTGTCATGGAGACTCAAGTTGCTGGAACACGCATTGTAACAGAATCAGTCGGTGGTCAGGTTCGTTAATTCCATCATCCCTACCTCTTGATCATATCTCGTTGGATATCAATATGATTAAGTATTTATAAAATGCTTCTTCTTGTTCTTTTGGCGTGTTTCCAAGGTTGTGGGACAGTATGTTCAACCGATCTCAAATCAACCGGCACAGGCCGGGGCGGGAGCTGGGGCAGCCGGAGATGACGCGGTAAAATTAACCATAGGGGAAGCTCTAGAAGCTACGGCTCATACAGTGGGTGACAAGCCGGTGGAGCAGAGTGATGCCGCCGCAATACAAGCGGCGGAGATGAGGGCAACCGGAAGGAATGAGATAACACCAGGTGGACTGGCGGCGATGGCGCAGTCGGCAGCGGCTTACAACTCGGGATGTGCTAGGGAAGAAGACAAGATCAAGATGAGTGACATTATGTCAGGTGCGACGGCAAGGTTGGCTGCGGACAAGCCGGCGACACGGCAAGATGCTGAAGGAGTGGTGGGTGCAGAGATGAGGAACAACCCTAATGTTATGACCACTCCGGGAGGGGTGGCGGCTTCCGTAGTCGCCGCGGCCAGACTCAACGAGAAGTCAGCCAACCAGTAATTGTTGTTGTGTAGACTAAGGATGTCATTGTTTTTAGGCTTTTCCCTCTTTTTTGGGGACAGCTCAAGGAAAGCTTTACGTTCAACGGAATTAGTGTTTGCCTCTGTACGATTGAAGTTGCCCTCCCCCCCTCTCTTTTTAAGGTTTAGGGTGTCATTTATGATGTTTTGTTATAAGATATATCAATATAAAAGGGTGAACTTATGTAGTATATGCAAATACACACACATATCAAATGCAAATGTGATGTGTATTGGCTTTTTTTTTTTCCTTGACTAATTCCGTGTTGATGGTCTTGATATTTAAATTCAAAATTCAATGAATAGAGAAAAATGTTAAAGAAGAACAGGCCTTTTGTCCCCTTTGTTTTGCTGATTCATATGTGCTACTTGTAAAATATCTATGATAACGTTTGTATCAGTCCTATTGCTTAAGGAAAATAGCACTTTCCAAAATCAACGACCAAGTCTTATTTAAGATCAACTAACATCGATTGATTGAATGCAGCTATAGATAATGTCATGTTGTGATCATGTAATCTAAATACTTTACTATTTGATTTTGGAGAGTCCTAACAACATAGATGGATCTGTAACCATTAATATATAATTAGTTAAAATGTTATTATAAGATAGGAGTAATTTCATTCAAATATTTGCATCCATTTATTGTTGAATCACCCTTGATCCAGTTTTTGAACATTGCTTTTAGAGTTTTTTACTGATTCTTATGGTCCAAACCATTAACACCATTAAAAAATATTCTAAAAAAATTCTTAAGTATATATTTTTTAATTAAAAACCATATTAAAATAAATTGTATTTACTAATTTATCTTTCATATTATATCTAATGCATTTTTTAACATTAGTATTCATTAATGATTTATTTCATATTTTTTTCCAAATTTAGACAAAATTTAAGTAACTTCAATTATTGATAACTTAATTGAAAATTTGAGTAATTTTTACCAAAGATATGTTTTATGAGATATATTTAAAAATTTTGAATTATAACATATTAATAAAAGAATATTTTGTGACTTTATAATTTAATTAAATATACATCTATATAATTACAAAAATATTTTCAGCCAACACATATATATACTTAAGAGATTATATCATAAGTAAGTTCTAATGAATAAATGAGATTAAACATTTGAATTATTGAAAAAAATAAAATTTATATTTATAAAATTAATTAAATTTATAATATGGTGATTGATTTAATAGCACAGCAAAAAATATCATAATATCATTTTGAATAAAAGCATGTCATATGTGTAATGTGATTAAGTGATAGTCATTTTATTTGTGCTAAGGATGGCTATTTTGGCCAAAATAATAGGTTAACGCTATGATTTAACAGTCAACTAATAGTTCGGTGGATGAAAATTGAATATTAAAAGTAGAAGGGAGGTTTGAACAATAGATATTTATTTTAAGAAAGTTTTAGATTGTTTTTTTTTTTAAAAAAAAAGGTCTCTGTAATTTAGGTTAAACAGAAGGGAAGTTGGTAGGTTATATATTTAGTTTGAATAATCTAATATTTAGGAACCCACCCACCAGCCTGCCAGCAACCAATAGAAATTAGGCTCGTTTGAGCCTTGTTGAAAAAGAAAATAAACGAGCAGGCTTAAATAAGCAGGTTCACAACTTAAATAGGCGGGCTACGGGCACAGGCACGGGCCGCCCATACACACCCATTTAGTTTTTTTTTTTAAAAAAGAGAGATTAGATCATCAAATACAAGCCTAGCCACTTAGTCAAGGCTGTCCAGTGTCCAATCTATCTCTCTCATCTCTTGCCTCCTAGTCTCCAAGTCTGATCGACTGTCCTCCATAGTCCAGTGCTCACAATCACCCAGAGTCCTAGACACCCAGCCCACGTCCCCTGTCCCCCCCACCCAGTTGTAGAGTTGCTCAATGCTCAGTGCTCACTGCCTCACTCATGCCTGTCGCCTCCTACTCACCGGTTCACCACACTTAGGCACTGGCACCTATAGTCATTGCGCAATCTCATAGAGTCGCCCCTCTCTCTTAGACCTTAGTCTAGCTCTGATCATGTAGAGGCACAGCATTGCAGCCCCTCTCGGCCTCTCCCTCTCTTCTTGTCATCGTGAAGTCCCTCTCCCTCTCCCGGCTTGATCTTTTAGTCTCTCACACCACTCCCGGCTCGATCTCTTAGTGTCTCACTACTCACGCAGGGTCGCCGCTCCTAACGTCCCAGCTCGGATCTCTCAGTCTCTCACGTAGTAAGTCTCATCTTGCAAATTTTTCACTTCAATATTTCATTTTACTCTTGTCAGTTCTCTCCTCCTTAGTTGACAATCGACATAGACATTTATATACTTGTATTTGCTGAATTGTTGACATTTATTATCTGATTACTAGGTTGCTAGTGAACACTAAACTTTGCTCTACTTTCTAGTTTGGATTTGCTTCTACTGTGGAATTATTTATCAAGTTTGATTGCAATAAAACTACATTTCCTATCTTTTTTGGGTTATGTTCTCTTGTATTTCGAGATTCTTCATTACTTCTGTTGCTCTTGCTGAACTATCTTCATGTTATTTGTTTTTTTATTATGTTTTTAGTAAAAATTGGTTTTGTTTGAGGAAAATTGAGAAAGTATGATTATTTTTGTTTCTTTTATGATTACTTTTGTTAAATTTGATTTGGATTGAGAAGGAATTGAGGAATGGTACAAAGTTAGCAAGAAAATGTCAACGGTAAGACTGTTATAGAGGAAAATGTGGCAGTTCCAACGGAAGATCCAAGTACTATTGTTCAACATGGCAGAAAGGAGACAAGATGCTGAAGAAGTGGCACCACTAGCGAAGAGAAAAAGGTGGCTAACATATGATATTTGGAATCATTTTACAAGATTCCCATTGACCTAACCCAAAGGAAACATAGGGCGAAGAATAATTATTGTGGCATAGATCATGCAAGTCATCCAACTAAAACTGGGATGAAATAGTTGTGGCGACATTTTGAAAAGTGTTCCAAGAACCCAAACAAAGTGAGCAAGTCACAAACTATGCTTGCTACTATTTCTTCTCAATCATCTCAATCTTATCACTTGTTCAATCAAGAACGATGTAGAAAGGCTTTTGCAAGGTTCATTATAAAGGATGAATTGCCTTTTCGAGTTGTGGAAAGGGAGGGTTTAAAAGAACTTTTGCAAAATTTTAAACCTAAGTTTCAGATGCCATCATGATGGACAATTGCTAGATTGTTACCAATTGTATTTAGAGGAAGCAAAACGTTTGACAAAATATTTCAAGCAATCTAAATGTCATGTCTCTATCACTGATTGTTGGACTCCAATACAAAACTTCAACCACATGCGTTTGACTGCACGTTAGATTGATGAGAATTGGACTTTGCAAAAAAGGATTTTGAAAATCACAAAAGGGATGCATTGACAAACAAATTAAGGATTTTTTATTCAATTGGAGCATTAAAAGAGTCTTTACAATTACAGTTGACAATACTTCTTTTAATGACATTGCAATTGCATATTTGAAGAAACAGTTGAAGAGTTGGAACAGTTTAATATGTGATGGAGAATTTTGTCTAATGTAGTATGCAGCTCACATTTTAAATTTGATGTTGGAGAGGGTCTGAAGGAAATGAATAAGTCTATTGAACTTATTTGAGATGCAATTAAGTTTGTTAGATCTTCTCTAGCTAGGCTATAGAAGTTCAAGGAGCTTGTAAAAAGAAAAAATTGATTCGAAGAGTTTCCTAGCCTTGGATTGTCCCACGAGGTATTGTTCACATTATTATTTTCACTTTATGTCAATTTCATTTGCTAATTCCTAATTGTTTATTTCTTGTCATGGGATTAGGTGGAATTCGACTTACCTTATATTGGAGAATGCCGTTAAGTTCATCAAAGTTTTTGATAAGATGGAAGAAGAAGGTTAAGATTACAAGGATTATTCTAAGAAAAAAGTTAAATTAGATTCAAGCCAACATGGTGATGCCTCAAATTATGATGATGACGATGATATTGACAACATTGATAAGGAGTACAGTTGAACCGCCTAATGCATATGATTGGAGTGTCACCAAAAAGTTTTTTTTTTTTTTTTGTGTTTTTGAGGTTGTTCTATGCTAAGATCCTCAAATTTTTTGGATCAAATTTTGTGACAACAAGCACATGCTTCCAGCATATAGTTGCAATCCAGACTTATCTTCATTGAAGTGTAGCTAGTGACTACTCTATCTTGAGTGTCATGGCAAGAAGAATGCAGACAAAGTATAATAAGTACTGGGAAAAAATAGAAAAAATGAATCCATTATTGATCATAGTAGTGATCCTTGATCCTAGATTCAAAATGACATATGTTAAGACTGCTTTTGAAGACATTTTTCCTGATCCTACAAAGCATGAGGCCATCTTGAAAAAGACTATGGATGTCTTGTATCGATTAGATGATCATTATTCTAGTGTTGTGAGGTTGATCATGGTGACGCATCTAAATCTCAATCAACAGTGGAGCAACAAGAACTACATGACAGTGTTGGAGTTGGGGATGACATTGACATGCTATTTCATGATGATACTGATTCTACATTTCAAAAGTTTCTGGCCACTGCAAATATTATTGTTAATGCAGAGAAAATTTTGAGGTGGATGAATATCTTTACCCAAATTTAGGTGGTTTTCGTGACCCAAAATTTGATGGCTTGTCATAGTGGAAAGTGAATGCTTCCAAATATAGAGTTCTTAGTGTAATAGCACGTGAGTTGTTAGTTGCACATGTCTCTACAGTATCTTTTGAATCAATTTTTAGTAGTGAGAGTTGAGTACTAGATAATTTTAGGAGTTTTTAATTTACAAAGATGGTTGAGGCACTCGTATGTGCCCAAAATTGGCTATCCAATAATACTCCAAAACTCGATGACCCTGAACTCAATAATTTTGCTGAGAGTACAAATATTGTTATTGGTATTTCAAATTTCAATCATATTTTCAATTTATATGA